GATTCTTTTTGCTCACCAGTTGCTAGGTAGAATACGAGGAACGAAGTTTTGTGAGCTTTTTCTAGTATTTTTATTTCCTTTTTTTCCCGTCGGAAACAAGATGCCTTTCGTATCTCCCCTCTGTTTCCTCCTCCTTCCTTTTCTCCTCTTCCTTCCTTCCTTCCCCTCCAGGCTCGGCAGCGCTGCCGACTGCGGTGACCGCACCCTGCAGGGAGGGCCTTAGAGAGGACGTGTGCGAGGTCAGAGAGGGCAGGGGTGACAGGGACAGGGGCAGCCTCTTTCCGACCTGGCCAGTCCAGTTCTATCGGCTGGGCTTGGGGGCAGGGGCGGGAGAGAAGACGTGAGGCCGCAGCTGGTGGAGGGGCATGCTCAGCCGGGGCCCAGGACTGGCTTGAGGCTCCGGGCGCGCGCTGTGCCGCACTCTCTGGCCCAGGGTCAGACGCGAACTGCACAGCGTTGGCCTGGGGCCACAGCCTGCGATGAAGCGGAGGCTGCTGTCGCACACGGAGCATGCCTGCCCTGAAGCTGCTTGCAGGCCCGGCCAGGATCTGTTTCTGCTGCTGTACAGTCTTGCCCTCGCGGCTGGTTCCTGGTCCCTGTCTGCTGTCTCAGGTTTCTGCTGTGGAGTTTCGCTCTCAGGGTTGGCCTGGTTTCTGTCGCCCGCCTCTTTATCTCTGCTCTCAATTGCAACAAGCCTGTCAGGCGGTATCCTGGTCCCCAGGTCTGCAGGAAACAGAGACCGGGACTGGGACTGACAGGACCCAGCTGCTCACCCAGGGAGCAGCAGTGCAGAGTGGCCTGGCACACTGACCATGAGGCCCGACCACTGGACCTCTCCTCTGAGCACCAGGCCCTGCTGGTGGCTCTGCCTCCCTTGGCGCCCACACAGACCCTGAAGGTGAGACCTGCAGCTCATAGGCCAGTCCGTGGTGAGTCGGCTTCCGGCGGGCCATGGTGGCCATGCTGCTGCAGGGAAATGTCACACGACCATGCCACATCCCTTGGCCAAGACCAGGAGGGCTCTTTCCTGCACACCAGCTTATCTGTCCTAAAGGGAGTCTCACAGAAGAGTCAGTCCTGTCCTCTCCACCTGCTCACGTCCTGGCTCTGGTCCTCCTCTGCCCACTGCCCTGTTCTGCACAGGGGCTGAGCAGCAGGAAATGCTTTTCTCTGGAGCTGGCCCCGGGCAGGGCGCAGGAGCAGAAGGGCCCCCTGGCAGGGCAGGAACAGACACCCTGCCTCCCAGCTTGCAGAGGAGCAGCCTGTGGGCTTGTATGGGGGTGAGTCCCAAACCGGCAGGGCTGGAAGGAGTCAAAGCCAGGGCCGGAGGTGCCAGAGGAGGCCGAGGGGAACAGCCTGCCCTCCTGACCCTGGTGAGGCGAAGCCCGGGCGGTTGTGTAATGCTCCTGCCGAGGCTCTGAATTACAAGTGAGCGAGAACAAGGTCATTCGATAGCACATCTGGTCGGGGCAGATTCTGTGTCAGGCCAGGCACAGGCCGTGGAGCACAGGCTGCTGGCCAGGAGGCGCCGGCCAGGCCCTCGGACGGCACAGAGGCCGCTTGCTGCGTGGGCCCTGTGTCTGCACGGTGAGCCGAGTCCTACCTGCTGCCCGGGGGTGCAGCCATCATCTCTGCCATCGTCATGTTACAAACCAGGCGGCGAGGCCGGAGCCAAGACTCCCACGGGGAGACCACCGGAGATGAAGGGTACTGGTTAGCACCACTCACCGACGGGCCAGGCCGGTTAGCCCGCTGGCCGACGGGCCGGTTAGCACCACTCTCAACTGTCTCTGTGCATGGGCCCCCTGGGAAGTAAAACACAAACCCACAAATTCAGATACAATGACTAAGGATTTCAAAATGGCAAAAGGGAAGCGTAAGCCATGCTCCGGGACCTTCTGAGAGGCCGCCTGCTGTCCCGTGACCTCTCGTGGTAGCCTCCTCCTCCTTGTCCTTCGCCTCCCTCCAGGTTGCTGTAGCCCTTGGATCGTGGCAACTTCTTGTCCCGCCCCCCCCCACCCCCGTGGTGCCTGGACAGACGCTGCGCACCCTCTACTGGTCCTCGTCCTGCTCCTGGGGGATCTCGAAGGGGACGATGAATGAAATGCCAGGCGCAGTGTCCAGGGCCCTGGGCCTGCCCCGCCCTCAGCCTCACCCCCACCCCCCCACAGGATCGCCCACCGCAGGGGGGTGCTTCTGCACGCAGAGTCGGCCCTACCTGCGTTTCCTTCCCCTCCGCCAGGGTCTGGGAATGCGTCCCCCGGGGGCCTTCCCGGAGTCTGACACAGAGGCGCTCCTTGACCTGTGAGGAGGTTACACCCAATAAACCCGTTCTAAGTTTAAAAGACGGCACATTGAACACGGCTCGCTGCGACGCCAGCTGTGCTCCCGGGACCCTGGAAGCGAGTTCAGACCCACTCGGAGCAGCGTCCCTGCAGGGGCGGGGTGCGGAGGGCGCGTCCTCGCTTGCTCGGAGACTCCCGCCCCTCCCCTCCGCACTGCGAAGCGACCACGTTAAAGAGCACGACCACGAAAACCGAGGCCGGAATTCCCCAATACGTCTACAGTCGATGAGTGTGGAGAGACCGAGGAGAAGGGGCGCAGCAGGAGCATCACCCCGATCCAGGCAGAGAACGAGGGAGCCGGGCCACCGCCGGGCACGGGGGACGACCCGCTGCACGGTCCCCGCGGACTCTGAGCGTCGGTGGGACCGCTCAGGCTGACAGGGCAGTGAGCAAGAGGCCCTCGGGAGACCTCGTGGCGCAACGGTAGCGCGTCTGACTCCAGATCAGAAGGTTGCGTGTTCAAATCACGTCGGGGTCAGTCCTTTTAACCCCTGCGTGTGGGGCGCTGCCGTGGGAGGCGAGGGCCTGGTGCTCGGCGGCGGAGCCTCCCCACCCGGCGGTCAGATACAGGATTGCGCTTTTGCGTTTTGGGGCGCATTTGTGGCCTGTGGCGATGTTTTCAGCCTCGTGGCGAGCGTGCTGCAACTGCCGCCCTCCGCTTCACCCTCCGCGCCGCCCGGCGCCGCCTCTGCGCTTGCGGTCCCCTCCGGGCCACATCTCTCTCCCACCTGCAGGAGCTCGGCCGATGCTCCATCCTCTGTCCTCCGTCCTCGATCCTCGCAGACGCCGAGCCTGCTCCGGGAGGGCGTCCTAGGCCGGCCCGCGTCCCGCCAGGCCGAGTCCCCGCGCTCCCGGATGCAGTAGCTGTCCAAGGCCGGAATTCAGCCCCCTGGTCAAACCGGGAGTGTGGTCCAGCAACCCCTGATACCATGCGCGGGCAGGCGGGCGACACGAATGTTCCGAAACCCCCCGCATTACCAGTTAGAACTTTGGGGCGCGGAAGACAGGGAATGCATGTTTATGTCTTCGGAAGAGTTTGTGTTATTTTGTGTAAATGACAAAGACTTCCACACACAGCATTTGGGGTATCAGCGGGTTTTGTTCTGTACACCCCTTATGTCTAATCACACATTTGTGCTGGAGTAGAGCTCAGAAGTCTATTAGAAAATCTTTTTTTTCTATGCCAAAAGCTCTAAAGCCAAAGGAGAAGAAAAATATCTCCCATGGCGCTTCTGGTGCGACTTCCGGAAGGATTCTTACACAGACGCCAGACCTTAGCAAACTGCAAGCCTGAGAGGAAGGGCCCGATGAAGCAGGCTGCAGGAAGGGTAGCAGAAGGCCGGGAGAAAACAAAACCCAACAGGGAGTACACGTTGATGGAGCTTGCCCGGCTACGGGTGCATGGTTTCCTGTCTGCTTAAGAGAGTACCAAGCTTCAGCCCATCCCGTCTTGTAAGCCTCCCCGGATGTTTTATGCAGCAGTTTGCTGTCACCAGGAGCAGTGCCCTAGCGTCCCCTTCTCGGCCCTCCCCTTCTCTTAGTAGAGTTGGACCCAGGGCTGACCCATCACGAAGGGGAGAGTCTGGAGGGAAAAGAGACCCACAGTTCTGAGCTTTTGAAGGAGCCACGGAGAGAAATGTTGGAAGTTAGACTTGGCCCTCTCCTCACAGCGGAGTGGCACCGCCCTGCTCTGCCGACCGGAGGGAACGAAGAAACTGAGGCCTTCAGCACGTGCCTGCGGCCACGCTTTCCCCAGACGCATGCAGTCTTTCCGGTGTTTTTCAAGTTCTAAGTCATTTGTTGACATTTGAAGGAGTAAGCAGTTATTTCTCTCACCTTAGAAATGAGACTACTGGGGCTTTTTAAGTTAAATGGCTTGACCACCTCACCTAGCCAGAGAGCGGAGAATGAGATCATTCTCCAAGCCTCTCGGCATGATGGCGAACACACTTTCCCCCCACGCACAAATAGAACCGAGGGACTAGGGATAGACATGAGTTAGTGTACACACGGGTCTCTCGCGGCGAGTCGGCGTACCCGCGGGTCACTCACAAGCATGGGACTTTCTTTTCCTGATCAGAGTGCTGCCATTTAATTTGACTGTTTTGTAAAAAACAAAACAAAAAACAAAAAACCAAACACAAACAACAACAAAACAAACAAAACAAAGCAGAGGTTTCCCATGAGGTCCATGCGTTTGCAATTCCTAGCCTGAGCTCAAAGGGGACTGGCTTTTTAGTGGTCGCTGAAACGGCATAACTGCAGGGAACTGCTTTCCAAGTTCCAAACACTTTTAAAGGCAAGAAAAGAGGGCAACCCGCTTGGTAACATCCCAGAATCAGCTGGGGAAGAGGGCGTACCAGAGGGCAGGACGCAGAGACGAGACTATTGGTTTCTGCTACAAATCTCGTGCAATGATTCTTTAGAGTATATAAATGCAAAGAGGTTAGAAAAGAAATTATTGCTATGTAGAAACCTTCCTTGGAAAACCTTGATTATTCCTCTCACAGAAACATCCCCTGTTGGGTCCTATGTACTTATGCGAGGCTGGTCGGCTTGGGAACTACGGAGCCAGAGTTAAAGAAACCTTCTCTATGCAAAAGAAGGG